TCACGGTGTATAATTTACCTTTTCATCATTACTGTTTCATTAGAAACACCGACGCAGCTCACACTAGTTTTTAGCTAGTTATATCTTTTTTTTAAGTTAGGGCATGGCTAACTTACGGATCGATCCTTATCAAACAACATCTTGGCTGATCCAAGTCAGGGCACTGGTAGCTCAAAGATGAAATTGAAATTTAGCGCGACAATTTTTTATGGGGGACCTTTGAATGAAAGGAGAGACCTGATTAGGTCTGGCTACTCAGTTGTGATGGCGAGTACAGGAATCGGACCCAAGACCCCTTATAGGCGAGTGCACTAGGGCCGCGGCATTAGCTCTTGATTATAGCCACTGAGAAGCGTGAAGTCATATTTTGTCACCTTATAATCGTTTGTTATTGAACTAAAATGTAAGATAACACTTCTAGGTTAGGTCTCCATTAGCTTTCTTAAATTTGTTTTATGACCGTTCAGTTCGACTACAGTACTGATGAGAACAAGACCATCCCAGAGTGGAGAAGAGTGTTCCATGGAGCCGATATTAAGTATGTGTTTGGAGACCCTTTACTGAAACATCCCAACGAACTCAACAATACTGACGTTCAGTTTAGCAAGTCTGTTATGAAGTATTGGGCTACCTTTGCCAAGACTGGGTAAGAGAACAAAAGAGTCGCATTAATTAGAACCCGTCCCCGTCCGCGTCCCCGTCCCCGTCCCCATGCCAACTTGCATCGCCATGATCAACCTCGTGCTCGTCGATCCTTACCGCCTTCCCCAACATCATTATCCTCACTCTCCTCCTCATTGTCACTCTCATTCTTGTTCACATTCCTTCGAACAGAAACCCCAACCCATCCTCGGGTCAGAATGCTGTCCAATGGCCTCTTTACACGACAGCCAATCAGCAGTATCTGTCCCTGAAGCCTACACCGGAAGCCAAATCAAATCTGCTGGCCGCTAGAATGAATTTCTGGAACAGCTACTTGGGTACCTTGAAATTTGAGGAAAAGAAGCCTTGTCCAGAGGATTTGAGTCAAGAACTGGACGAGAAAGGTATGAAGTAGATACCATTTAATAGAAAGATGATGACTATAGTACGATGATGATGTGATACATGCAAGCCATAAAGGTTTTACACCATCACGTGATGGCAACTATGACCAGGAAGCACAACAATAGAGTTTCGTTCTACTGGAAAAACGAGTTCTTTCTCATGTAAATCAGATTATGACTGTCATGGCTGCCATCGCGTGATCTTGTAAAGCCTATATATATAGAGTGATGTTATCAAATGAGGTGGATGTCATGACATTCAGGTTCTCCGAATTAACTTGTTCATACAAGATACCCTTTGCTGGAATAAAAAGTTATTCGGCATTGGCATGAACTTTCATCCTTTCATGGCAGCACGCTGAAACATGGGACTGTTTTAGCGGAAACCCTTTTTAAAGGTTTTAGTATTTGAATCGAGACACATTTATTTTAGTGAAAAGTTTGTTTTTCAAAAGAGTTTTCTAAGCTTTCCGCCATATTGGAAAAGATAAACCGGCATCTCCTAAAACGACATCTGGATTTAGTGTCCGTACGTTTTCGGCGCAACCTCGGAAAGGCGAATATATATAGAAATAACAGGAATGTATTTGTTTTGAGATCACGTTGTTATAATTTTTTTGCCATTCTTGTTTTTTCCCCCAGAAAAGTACGTACTTGGTCTGGCGATTGCTGTAGGAGTGCTGGGACTGTTGGCGATAATACTGATCATCGTCATCATCTGCATGAAAAGGAAATCCAAATCCGTTAACATATCTTGAGAACAGAAGACGGTAGTCAGCGTGTAATAGTTAAATAGACACAAAAGAAAACAATGGAATTATTGTCTTCTAATTAACAATTAGACTACGAGGTCGAGTTTTCTATGAGTCAATAGATAGTCAATGAGGCGCGTAGCGCCGAATCGACCATTTGACTCATAGAAAACGAGAACGAGTAGTCTAATTGTTTTAGCATAAACCTACTAGCTAATAATATAGTATTGAAAACAAAGAATGACACTGAAAACTTTACTGAACAAATCGACGGTCAACCGGCGACACTGTTTTCATTCATCTTTGTGAACTCGACTATCTGAACATACAACTAATTCAAATAACGCTGTCATCGCCAAAGGCGATAGGCGATAGGTCATTCCGATATGGAAATGGTTTCGTTGAATACAAAGAACATCAAATCATTCTCAGCACTAAGGTCCATACTCTTGACGAGAATAAGAAGCAGAAACACAAGTCATTCCAGCTATTCTTGGATCTTGGAATGATATCTATCCTATAGCTTTTCGCCTATCGCATATTCGGCCTATCGCCTTTGGCGATGACAACGATTTTTGAATTAGGTGTATAAGCTTAAACTTCAAATAGTGCTTTATTTGTATAGCCTTTTGTCTCTATTTTTACGGTCAAAACTGTCTTTCCAATATTTTCAACCTTTTTATCTGTTCTTAACTTGGGAAATTTTCTAATTGAATGAGTGATATAAGCTGAACGGATATATTCACAAATATTTAGAAATCATTCAAAACCGTGCCATGTTTACAATTTGCTTAATATAAGATTCTTGTCAGTTAACTTGCACTTTCTTTATTGTTTCGTCTGTTCTTACTGTTTAAAATTCTTCTTGAATACATGAGAATAAGTTGTCTTTTGGATTTCTTCTGTTTTTTGAGGAAATCATTTTAAAATGACTTTTTTATCTCATTAGTCAGTTTGTTCATGAAAATCTCAATGAAATCTGATGGCCGCGTTTGTAAATTGTCACAATTATTCAAGGTTTTTTTTATCTGTACTGTCCAAAACCTCCATTCCTTTATTTGATACAGTGTTGTATTTTATAATCGATTTTTAAAGATTTTTTAGAGAACAAGCAGAGATTTCGACGAAACTTGAACGTAGCATACATTTATTCGTTTTTCGTTACTCGATATCTATCACGGGGTAGATAGTGAGTACGTTAGCCAATCAGATTGCAGGATTCGTGGTAGTATATTCGTCCGTTCCGTCTCCACGCTTAAAGGCTGTAACGGTACAATGACCGAAAGGACTTATGGGTCCCAAAAACTTGGACCCGGCGTGCTTTGGGAACCAAAACACTCGTCCACAGTCTCTCAATATTTTCAAGATGGCGGCGAAAACGAGAGAGACTTTGGACGAGTATTTTGGTTCCCAAAGCACGCCGGGCCCAAGTTTTCGGGACCAATAAGTCATTTCGGTCATTGTACCGTTATAGTCTCTAAGCGTGGAGACGGAACGGAAGAGCGAGAGACTGTGAAGGAATCTAGATAGTATGCTAGTAGGTGTATGCTAATGTGTATTCGTCTAACATCTATTTCACAAGTGTAATGACTTTCCTTATATACAAAAAAAAAAAAAAAAAAAAAAAAAAAAAAAAAAAAAAAAATTGGTAAAGGTAAATTAACCTCACAATAACAAGGCTATAGTTGTCTCAGTTAAATCATAGATAGATGGATAGACAGAAACTTCATTTCAAAAGGGTAAGCACTAAATAGTATAAAATACTAACAAACTTGTAGCCCTAAAAAAGCCCATATAGAAAAGAGTGAGAAACTAAATGATGCGCTTGCGCTTGTTATGTTTTCATTATGCCAATGAAAAACACGCCTTTTTTGCAGATAAATTCTTAGATAAATGTGAAAGATGTAGAATATGTGCTGTCGTTTTTATACTCTTGTTCTTTCTCCCTCCCCTCCCCCTTCCCCCTTTGTCTTTTTGTCCTCGTCACATGAAGCCCAAGGAGACTATTTCATACTGATACAAGCAAGCCATGCAACAATGCAACATCTTTTTTTTGAAAAGAGCTTTGGCATTTTTTTGCGCTCCAACTCGACCCACTGTCAAAACCATAGAGACTTTAGACTTTAGAGAGGTTATTTAGATCGCGTAATCATGTAAAGATTACTTTAAGGCATGCATTTATCAATTTCTATTGGTTAATTAATTAACCATATTAACTCTGGACGGTTGAATATTACTGACGTAAGGAGCATCGCGCGGTCGCGTTGTTGTTGGTTAATTAACCATATTAACTCTGGACGGTTGAAAATTACCGACGTAAGGAGCATCGCGCGGTCGCGTTGTTGTTGGTATAGTACAAACAGAGTCAAGTACGGAACGGCCGTTAAAGAAGTAACGCTCATAGGCTATTCAAACCGTTTGACCTTTGGAATGAAAACGTCTGCATTACAACAGCGAACGAAGGAATACGGACGCAAGATAAGTAAACAAGTATAACGTTGATTTAATTCAAATAATCGAAAGGAAAAAAAACCCTATAGAAATCCAGCCACATTCGGTGTCCTAGTGCCCTTGATCAAACACAACTATTGGAGGTTAGTACTATACAAAGTCAAACATTTTAGTTTTCTTTTTAAGCAGATGATGACGATGATCAGTATTATCACCAACAGTCCCAGCACTCCTACAGCAATCGCCAGACCAAGAAGGGCCTTTTCTGTGGAAAGAGAAGAAGGAAAGAAGGAAAAGGAAATTTAAAAAGAGYGAAAAGAGAGAAAGGAAAAAACATGGTCATTCATGCATGCATTTCTCCGTCTATTCCTTCCTTCGGCCTTCCTTCATTCCTTCCTTCCTTCCTTCCTTCCTTCATTTGCTCGTTTGTTAGTTCGTTCGTTCCCTTCTTCCTTATCCTCTTTACTTTCCTCTCTCCCTCCCTCCCTGCCTAGCTCCCGCCTTTTCTCTCTTTTTTGCTCTTTTTTTACTCTAATTTTAATACATTATTTAAGGACTCTTAAAGGGACTCTGAGGTGCCAGACACATCATAGCTTAAAATGTACATCAAACCTTGTTGATTTTGAAAATCGAAATGAAAATTCCATGAAATGCGTTTTTBGGGGTGATATCGTCCGTCAAAGTTGCGAAATGACTTAAGCTGGGCTCCCTGTGGAATATTACGGATTTGATGGCTTGGGATGAATGTGGTGTGATGACGTCAGATAGTTGAACATGTTGGATAGCTGGAGTTGAATCAGCCAAATTTCGCTATTGAAGTATGGCTGTTCTTTATCAATTTGAGCCGGAAATTGCTTGAGGAGAAGAATGTAATACACCCGATGAAAGTGTGAGCGAGGAAAGTGAGCTAGAAGAAGTGTCGAACGAGGAATGATGTGTCTGGCACCTCAGAGTCCCTTTAAAAAATTATGAATCGTGCAACAATTCTCTTATTCGATGCAAAACATGATTTTTTAGAGATTTTGTTGGGTACCTTTCTCGTTCGGCGGTTCTTGGGTCAAGTCCTCTGGACAAGGCTTCTTTTTCTCAGATTTCAAGGTACCTAAATAGCTGTTCCAGAAATTCATTCTTGCGGCCAGTAGGTTTGACTTGACTTCCGGTGTAGGCTTCAGAGACAGATACTGCTTATTCGCTGTCGTGTAAAGAGGCCATTGCACTGCATTCTGACCTGAAGATGGGTTGGGGTTTCTGTTTAAAAATGAGAATGAGGGCTGACTGATGATTGATCATGAGGAGAAGAAGGAGAAATGGAGAAGACGGTAAGAAGGGGGTAGGAGAATGAGGAAAAAAAATAAGGTAAAAAGAGGTATGGGTTATGCGGATGGTGTGGGTTTGGGTGAAATCTTTTCCCACTTCAGACGACTACATATTATCATTCTCTTAAGGTGCTGAAAAACGGTGCAACATTGCACGCAACATTGCAAGCAACAAATTTGAATCGGGGTGACACACTTTGCGACAAAATCACACAACATATCGCTTGTGTCAGCCTGCTATGTTAAGAAATTTGGTCAGCATTAATGAATTTAGTGCAAGCTGATTGGCTGGAAATTTCAAACTGTTGCGGGCAATGCCGTCCATGTTCACATGATGAAATTGGTTGCGCGCAATGTTGCAAGAGTAGAGCGTGATTCAATTTTAGATTTGTTGCATGCAACAAGTTTCAGGGGTACACACGCTGCAACAGTCCTGTTGCGTGCAATCTTGCACCGTGTGTCAGCACCCTTAAGAATAAAATTCTTTGTTTGGTTTGAGTCGTATTCATATTCGTGTATCTTATCATGCGCAACCACTAAACAAAGATATCATGCTCTAGGGAATGACACATTCTCTCAAATGTAAAACATATGCCAAGGCAAAGAGGTCGATTTGACCCACTCTATTTCTTACCCAGTCTTGGCAAAGGTAGCCCAGTACTTCATAACCAACTTGCCAAACTTTACGTCAGTATTGTTGAGGTCTTTGGGATACTTCAACAAGGGATGTCCAAACACATAGGGAATATCAGCAGCGTGAGGAACCCTTCTCCACTCAGGGACGGTTTTGTTTTCGAAGTCTAGTTCCGCGCTGTAGTCCATCTATAAGATAATGTGCGTCAATCCATGTTTTCTTTACAAATCATGGTTAACCTTACAGCACGTACACATGCACGGTACGGTATTTTGTCATATAAATGGGGAGAGTAGTCAGCAGTTTTTCAAAAGTGCCCATTCAGGATATGAAAATATGATTTAGCTTCATTCTGCTGTAAGTTTTGTTTCGATAAGTGGAAAAAAGTTTGTTTGTCAAAATTCTTCCAAATAAGTTGTTCGTATATAGGAACAAYGTATGTGAATAAATGCATCTTTCGTCGAATTATCTATTCGTATGCAATGAGGAAAAATGTTTCTACTTCTGAACAATTTTCTAGAATTTTTAGGTATGTCTTTTAATGAGAGTGCTTGAGAAAAGTGTATGTCACTTTTTCGTCGCTTTTCGACTACAGCTAAACAGGCTATTATATATCTTCTTACCTGATAGAAATAAGTGCGCATGCCCATTTTGTCATAGAGCTGTGCAGACAAAATGGCGGGCGCCTTAAATATAGCATCGGCGTTCGCGTCCATAAAACCCTGTCTTGTGGCGTTAACGTCATTGGTGTCGGCCCAGTTAGTATACTCTTGAAAGATGCTGTTTAAGATCTCCTCGTTTTGACCTCGCACCCACGTAGTTGAATTGACTTTCTCCACAAAAACCGAGTAGTTTAGACCTTTGTCACTATCAGGAATGCCTTCTTGTAATCCTGAAACATTAGTCATCAAAACCATCAGTTTTTCAAAACCTGAAACAACCTGGGCTGATCTAAGTTTTGTCATGGTAAACTCAAAGATTAGAATATCACTGGAATTTAGCGTGTTGGCCTCTGCGAGGGAGAGAAGAAAAAAGACGGAGAAAAGTGAGAAAAACTATCGAATCAACGGCGAGACGTAACAAACTCTTCATTACGGACCTTAAAGGTCAGATCCGAGTCAATACCGCCACACCAAAATTGATTACCGAATGAATAGTTAGCGAGTGTGGTTTTCTTCTAGCGTATCAAGTGCCTTAGCACGCGCCGGAAATTGACTACAGGGTTCTCAAACGAGCTAAGATAAACCATATTTATGCACCAAACTGCTATTCACCTAAGGTGTAATGTTTTCCCATTTCAGACCAAGTGTTATTTTCTATAGACCACCTGCTTTGGTTTCCTAGAAGAATTGTTCTGGGGGACAAAACAATAGGCCGTCTTTTCTTATGCAAAAAAACATCTATTATATCTCCCCCAGAACAATTCCTCTAGGGAGGGAGGCAGGGAGGCAGGGAGGCAGGGAGGCAGGGAGGCAGGGAGGCAGGGAGGCAGGAAGGCAATTAACTACTTTAGTTAATTACAAATCATTAAAAAAAAATTTCAACTAATCAATATATATTAAATATCATGAAAAAGTGTGAGCATTAATTCTGTTAGTAAAAGTCGATAGAGTATCACATTTATGAAGTGCTTCAGGAAGCGAATTCCACAATTTTGCTCCACTATAGGAGAAACTTTTCTTCAGATACTCGGTTTTAGGTAGCGGTGACAGCATGGAAGTAGAGGAGCTCCTAAGGTTATAATGTGTTGTAATATTCTTAACTAAGTGCAAGCGGTCTATGGAGCGTTTTCACTCACGTGAGAAGGCAGCCACAAACAACAGAAACTTTCTGCACAGTATTTGCATAAAAACAGACTTCAGTTCTCGGAGGATAGAAAATGTATTGTTTTGGTACCCCATAATGGCTCCTGTGACGTCACGTGAAAACGCTCTATAGTATCATTTCTTTGTTTGACAGTCGCTCAACTCAAACAAAGAATATTATTCTCAGGTACTTGTACATGTCATAGTTAATGGGAGGGGAATGGTTAGGAAACGTATTGTTATCAGGTCTTTGTTCACTTTCGATGTTGAACCGGTCTTGACCGTGCACAATGCTTGAGTTATGCTCATCCGAAATTGCAAAATAAGTAAACATAAACTTTGTCTATGGGATTGTTGTAAGAAATATTCAAATATCTCTTATAAATCTTTAAGCATTTTGAACTAGCAGCCAAAAGAAAGATTTTTGTCTGTTCACTCAACCATTGCCAACAATGGTAAAACAAAGGATTGTGCAGGGTCACGCTTGAAAAAAGTGAACAAAGACATATAACAGTAGGTTTCATGACCATTCCCCTCTATATACTATGTACATATATGTATGATARAGATAAGTCAATGTGATACTTACCAGGTAAATAGATAAGTGCTAACGAGCCTTCATCTCGTGTGACGCCAATCATCACACTGCCTTCGTCTTGATAGCTACCTTTCGTGAGAACCATTAGCGGGGTATCTAGCAAAAAAATAATAATTCAATGTCTTTTTGTAGTATTGTGTCACCAAAAAAAAAAAAACAAAAAAAAAACGCGTAAAGTAATAAGGACATCGACACTAACTAAAGAAACACCAGTTGATTTTTCTAGAGAAAACAACGTGAAAGGATGGCGGCGGGTGCATGATAAACCGTTTCGAAAACATCGTTCTCGATGCTAGTCAGTAATATGCAAAAAAAAAATCGAACGAAAATTTGATCGGAAAGTGCGGATCATAATAGCTGATCATGATCGGAATGATCGCTGGACGAAAACAAACAAGTTTTTAATTACCTTCTAAAAAATGTCCATCGACAACAGGCGCAAATGGGGCGAGCATCAGGGTTGGATTCACTTTCAACTGTGCTGTGATGATTTCAGAAATGTTTTTCTTCATGGCACAATTTTTGAGGTCTGATAGGGTTGGACATCTAAGGGCATCGGCAAACATCCTGGGAAAGAAAGGAAAGAACAATAATCAATAATCAATAATCAATAATCAATAATCAATAATCAATAATGAATAATGAATAATCAATAATCAAGGCCAACAAGCCAACAAGCCAACAAGCCAACAAGCCAACAAGCCAACAAG